CTAAATTTTATATTATTCAAAAAATAAATTATATATTCATAATCCCCCTAATTTTGTCTATAAAATGAACACAAATTTAGCAATTTAACTTTGAAAAAAAACGCTGAAAATTAAGAAATACGACGAGTAATCTAAATGCGTCCGATATGTCCGATATGTATATATATATATATATATATACACACATATATATATATATACACATACATGTATGTGTGTATATATATATATACATATATATACACACATACAATATACATACATATATCCACGATGTTGCTTCCAGTCCGTGGATTTTTAATAAATATACATATATATAGAGAGAGGGAGAGAAAGGGAGAGGGAGATAAAATATCGCAATTGAAAATCATCAGTTAATAAAAACTATGATTTTATTTACTTAGAAATTTATATAAGAAAAAAGAGCGAATTGTTTTCTTGTCAAACAATCATGCCTACATTAAACATTCCAACCTGGCCAGCCAGTGAGCAAACAAATGCAGAGATGTCGATGATAGCGAATGTATTCAAAAATAATTTGGTTAATAGTTTTAAATTAATCAAACATTTGCAACATTTGACAAAAAAAGGAAACCCTGCAATAAATTTTTTATTATCGTTCAATTCGGTTGCTTTGCAAAGCATTGAATATTGATTAATCGATCCAATGATTGATTGATTGATCGTTGGAAAAGATTTGACCTGCATAATTTTATCGAAATAGCACATTGACAATTTCTGACGTAAAAATTTTTAAATGCATAATTCAAACTTTTTGAAAATCTTAAAAATGTAATTTTTCAACATTATTCTTATAAAAAATTCACGTAACGAAAAATTTCAATTAAAAAAAAAATCAAAATTTATTTCGTCAAAGAGTGCTGTAAAAACTCGAGAGTGATATTTGCTGTCACTTCTGACTGAATAAGATTTGAAATAAATGTCGGAGTAATCGATTGCGCGAAAAAACGCAATGAAACTAAGTGGACCTGCGCTGGCTGCTAACATTTTTTCGAAAAATTCACGCAAATAGAGAAAAATTACATAATTGGTAATAGCAACGCGTGGGACGAACAGCAGAAGTTTGAAATTAAGTTCCTTCTTCTAAAGGCGTTTCATTTATACGAATTATGTGTTTTTGCTGTTATACTTATACTATATTTGTAAAAAAAAATTATTTGTAGTACAAAAAGAATGATAGTTGATTAAGCAGAAACACGAGTGTCATGGAACTTTAGAATAAAATTGCTCCATTGTGTTCTTTCTAACAAAAACTTCGGTTGGAATGAGAGTCATTATTGATGTTACACACACTCGTAGCAGATGATTATTGATTGTAATGTTACGTAATGAAGCTGAGGCTTTCCGGTATGCGTCAAGTTGTACTGTACAATGCTTCTTCTCTAACAAGCGTTAAATTATTACCTATCTACAATAATTCTAAAATTTTTAAATTAGGAACGAAGCCATGTAAACTACA